AAGAGAAGCCGTGGTAGACAATAACATCCAGCGAAGAAGCAATTCAGAGAAAAACAGCAACATAATTCAACCGGAATATGTGAGCATCGATGGCTCTAAAATCTGGCATTTGTTGAAGACAAACATCATCAACATTGATGAGTAAAAGGATGGTGATGAAACTGATGCAACTCCTGGGAATGAGAAACCACAAAATCCCCAGTAGAAACCGGGCAGGATGTCTCCGAGCAAAGATTGTGGTCCTCACTGTAGAATTGAAATATAAAGTAGGTAACATCAACAGTCAGCTTCCCACCGGAGATTGGTTCCTCTGTAGATGCAGCAATGCTGAAGGTAGCTATGTCAATGAGCCGAGCCCGAGCCGAAAAAAAAGCTCGGGCTCGGCTCAAGCTTTTTTAGGCCGAGCTTTTTTGGGCCCGAGCCGAGAAAAGCTCGGCCAAAAAAAATGAGGAGCCTTAGCGGGCCAAGCCGTTCGGGTTTTTTTTTTAAATGTCAAATCTACATTTTTACTTAAAACATTTAAATAAAAAAGCTCGGGGGAGCCGAGCCGAGCAAAGCCCGGCCAAAAAAATGAGGCTCGATGTAACCAAGCCCGAGTCGGGCCCAGCTCGAGTTTTTTTCGAGCCGAGCCGACGAGCTTTTTTGTCATCCCTAGCTGAAGGCGGTATTTTTGCCTCTGGAGATTGGATAAGGATTTATCTCAATTCCACTAACCTTAACAGGATAGTTGGCTTTCTTATTGCAGTAGTGAACCTTAGTGGATTTGGCAGAAGTAAAAGGTATAATAATCAAACATGATGAGAAAAGGATTAGGGCAAGCAGAGGCTTGAACTGAACCATTGTCATACTTCGATAAATTCTAGAGAGAGATGAGAATTTATTTCTTGTAATTGCTGGATCAATGTTTCTCTGTTAGGTGATCTATTTCCGATTGGAAGATCCACCAGACAACAGTAAGAATTCAGTTGACTCAGAAGGAGCGGCAGCTGAAACCATTGGTCTGGAAGGACAAAAGGACAAGGATCTTCATGCTGAAAAGCAGAAAGTAGAAAAGTATGATCCAGTAACTGGTGAGATCAGCTCCCAAAATGATGAGAATGATGACGAAAACAAGAATTCTGCTACAGAAGAACAAAAGCTTGTGGTCTCTCCTAGTAATGAACACGCAGACAAATCTTCTGATACTGGGGAAGAACACCCTGAACGAATGATCAATCAAGAGGAAGCCGAAACTGGCCCAATGATTGAATCAAGCAAACCCAGATTTGCCAGAAGCTCTGATACCATATTGAGAAATTAAAGGATAGATTCAATATGAAAACATATTGAAGGAACTTGAGAAGAGGAACACTTTATTAATCATCAAGCTCAAGTAATATTGAGAATACATTGCTATATTTATAGAGTAATTTCTAACAAACTAACTACATAACAAACAAGAGAAGAATCTAGAAGAAGCACCTAATAACAAATAGGACAAGCTCAAGTAATATTGTGAATACGTTGCTCTATTTATGGAGTAAATTTCTAACAAACTAACTACATAACAAACAAGAGAAGGATCTAGAATAAGCATTTAATATTGAATATTCCAACAGTCTTGGACATGATTTTGTTACCACTTGTAGGGACTTAGAGTTCCACCCTAAAAGGTTAAATGGATAGGGTAGCCCAATATCTTTATAAATCGAAGACCATCTCTAGTGGATGCTGGACTTTTGTTTGTTCGTAGCCTGTTCAATGAACAAGCTAAGTGTGCCCGTTCACTGAAAAAGCTAAGTGTGCCCGTTGAGAGCATTTTGCCCAATTTGTTGTTGCAGGTTTTTACTATAATAGAGAAAAAGATTACAAGGCGTCAATGCCTCTAAGGACTATTAAGGTGACTCAATATATTTATGAAGTTTTGAGTTGGAGAACAAGTGTACACATTAGGCTCCAATCAACATTTTGTTTCAACCTTCTGTGTTTTGCATAGGATTGGATGTCCAACTAGTCTATTATTGATTAGGAGAAAAAATAGTTTATTAGCCTATAGATACTGCTGTTAGGTTCATTAATAGCTAAAAAATTTTGATGTGCAGAGCATCTGTTGAGAAGTATCCAGAAAACAGGATGCTAGGATGGCGTGAAATTATTAATGGGAAGGTACAATAACATCCTACTCATCTTGCGAATGTTGACAAAAATCTGAGCTACTTCATATATGCAAGAAAAATCACTCTTTGATATATTTTATCTTGTTTTGTGCTATCATATATAGTGGGGCCCTTATCTCTGGAAATCCTACAAGGAAGTATACGAAGAAGTTTTACATGTTGGTTCTGCATTACGGACTCATGGGATTGAACCTGTAAGAACATACATATATGATGTTTGTATTTTCGTTAGTATCTTATATTTTCCGATTAAATTTAGTTATATATCTGCACACTTGCTTTAGTGAGAAATATAAATTATTTTAAATTTTTAGGGTGCTCGAGTTGGAATTTATGGATCGAATTGTCCTCAGTGGATTGTGGCTATGGAGGTTAGATTGGATATTGTGATCCGTGTTCCCCAAATTTGTTGATAATTCCAGTCTTTCATCATTCTTTCTGTGTTTTCTGAATATTATATGAGAAAGTACTACCGATATTTTGCAGGCGTGCAGTGCTCAAAGTTTAATTTGTGTTCCCCTCTATGATACTCTAGGTGAACTTTCTTGTTTCACTTTACCACACGAATTTTATCGAATGCCCTTTTTTACCTTGAACTTTTTTTTTCAGTTAATTATCGTGTTTTTTCTCCAAGAGTAATTTGCCAGTATGTAAAAAATGTTTGATTGATCTTTATTCACTCTTTTTCCTCCTGTGCTATGTCCTTTATGGAATTCAAACGTATGAAATTGCTGCTGCAAGCAAAATATTTAACCTCGTGGATATTTCATGAAGCAGGAGCGGGAGCTGTAAATTACATCATAGATCATGCGGAGGTTGATTTTGTTTTCATCCAAGATAAAAAAGTGAAAGAAGTGAGCATCACAGACTTATTTTCCTTTTTCTTTCTTCATTAATCTTTCGGTACAAGTTTCAAAGCACATTCTTGGATGGTTTTCTGATTAAACAAACTTTTACTTGCAGCTTTTGAGTCCCGAATGCACTCATGCTCGACGGCTTAAATGTAGGTTTAAATCTTAATTAATTGCAGTAGCTTAAAGGCATTTTACTGAGTCTTCTTGTGGTTGCAGTGTTAGTTTGCTTCTCTTCAATGACAGAGGAAGATCAAAATAGTGCAGCCTCTATCGGTGTAAAATCGTACTCTTGGAATGAATTCCTTGAAATGGTAATTTTTTCGTCTTCAAATTCTTACCTTTTCAGTTTGTTTGGTACACTTTGAATCTTCTGCCTTCATAAACTGAAGACTGAACAGTTCCAAAAACTGAAATTTTTTGCATTCTTTTTAGAACAACGGTATTCCTCTTGGTGAATATCATATATTTTTCATCGTCTCCAAAGTTCACTTCGTTCTGGCAAGTGAAAAGAAATGCGAAAGTGCTGCATTCTGAAACAGTGCCCAGTTTTCTAGATTATAGAAGACTAGAAGTTACATATAGATATATATTTATATTCACGAGTTCTTTGTATGTATTATCATATGTAGATATGTTAGCAAGGATCAAAATATTTACACTTCACTGATAGTAGGATTCTTGGGTTCATAAATCATCTTTCAGACGAGGGACTATCATTTTAACAGTAAATAATGCACTGACTATTCAATCTTCTTGCAATTTTTCTAATATTCTATTAGTTGTAATATTTCCATCAATTAAAATCCTGTATATCATTTGCCAGGGAAGGAAGTATCCATCAGATATCGTGCCGCCACAGCCGTTCAACATATGCACAATTATGTACACCAGCGGCACTAGTGGAGATCCCAAAGGTGTTATATTGACACATGAAAACATTGTCACGTGCATAATAGGTGTCGATCTGTTCATGGAGCAATTTGAAGACAAGGTAAGATCTGTTTATTGCATTATATTTCCGATTTTCTGACATGTCTGCTAATTTAATTTTTCTTTCCTCCTTTATGGATTGTGTCTAAAGAGGCCTTATAGTTCAAAACACCATAATTTTTTAAGCAACCTCTGTGCGCCTAATGGCATGTATATGCTTCCGACATACTCATGTTATAACTGTCTAAGATCCTAGTGTTTCTTTTTCCTTCATCTTGCAATTCTAATGTCCCTCATTTGAACTCTTAATAGATGACAGTCAATGATGTATATATATCGTTTCTACCCCTTGCTCACATTCTTGATCGCATGATTGAAGAATATTTCTTCCACAAGGGTGCGTCAGTTGGCTACTATCACGGGGTAAGTTGTCAGAATTTCTAATACTGGTCTCCTTCGATCATCATATGATTGTGGAGAGTACAGAAGAGCAGCAGCATATAAAACAAACAGTGTATACAAAAGCTATGTTAATTATTATTAAAAAAAAAACTGAAGTGATGTAGTAGTCATCCTCTGACATAGTTCCTTGCTATACGTTAAAGGATATAAACGGGTTGAGGGATGATTTGATGGAGTTGAGACCAACATTTTTGGCAGGAGTACCTCGAGTTTTTGAGAGGATACATGAAGGCAAGGAGAAATTTACCCATCTTTAATCATATATTCAGATTGGTTAGAATAAAGGCTGGTGGATAACAATCAATTTCATCTTCTGTCAGGAGTCTTAATAGCACTTCAAGAACTCAATCCACGGAGGAGAAAAATTTTCGACTTGCTCTACAGATAGTAATACCTTGTTTATTTTCAGTTTTACTTTTGTATCTTTGAAGAATTATACAACTTGAGAACATCTGCTGATGCTTCTATTTCTTGATCTCACAATACAGCAAACTATACTGGATGAATTTAGGGTACAAACAGAAAAATGCATCGCCATTGGCAGATCTTCTGGCTTTCAGGAAGGTTGTGTCTATCCTCATAATCTATATGCTTTGATCTTTAGTCAGAAGACATAACTTGAACCTTTATACCTTAAAATTGAAATCAGACCACAAGTGGCTGACTCTAGTTAGTCTAAAGTTTGTCTAGTTAGTGCATGTTCGGCTAAGCTTAAAAGTTTGCTTGTGAGTTTACTTTTACATAATTTAATAAGTTTTAAAATAAATAATATTTTTGGTTAGTCAAAGTCAGAACTAACCCCCATCTTACTAACAAAATAAGTAGTTTGTCTACTTATAAGAAAAAAAATGTATGCACACATGTTTGGAATAAATAAAAAAAATTAAATACTTAAATAATTAAGTAGCTAAACATGTTAAAAGTTTGACCTTCCAACATGGTGCTTGCTAGAATGTTGTCGTTTATGGCTTTGATACTGTAATAATACTAAAGCACTTCTCTATTTGCTGTGTATAACAAGATAGATTCTTATATTTGATGCAATTGGCTGTTTCAATGAAATGGAACCTACCATGAACCTGAAGCAAAAAATGAAAAAAGAAGAAACATGTAAAAAAAAAAAAATCCTGCTATCTTTTAGAAAAATTATTTTTGCAGAAATTTAATATTTGAATTCTGATAATTATTTTATTGAATTTCTTTTAGGTCAAAAATAGGTTAGGCGGCAGGATCCGTCTAATAGTTTCTGGTGGTGCACCACTAGGCAGTGAGATTGAAGAATTCCTCCGCGTTACCTCCTGTGCTTTTGTAGTACAAGGCTATGGTAATTAACTATATACTTTTTACATGCAAAGAATGAGAAGATACCATTTGGAATTATCTGATGTGGCTTAGTTCTGTCATACTTCATGACATTCTTCCCCACTTTTCCGTGTAAATCAATTCTTTCAATTAATATCATTGATTGCTACATATCTTGACTAGGATCTTTGAGCTCAAATTTTGCTAAGCTTATGTGTATCATGATTTTGGTATGCACAACCTTACAAAACAAAACACTGGGGGTTCAATTCTTACCTCTGTTTTATGATTTCCTTAATTGGTTCTCTCCTTCAGACAAGTGTGAAAGCTTATGTTGCTACTACATGATACAGAAAAGGAAGTATTTTTCTTATTAAGAAAGAGGACCGTACGAGTTTGAATGTTTTCCTGTAACCAGTTATGTGTTGTTACTTGTTATTGACCTTCCACAGGGTACACTTATATCCTATCACAATGTCGATGATTCAGGGCTTACAGAGAGCTGTGGATTGGCCACTCTTGGCTTCCCCGACGAAATGTGCATGATGGGAACAGTTGGTTCTGCATTTGTATATACAGAGATCCGTCTGGAGGAGGTTCCAGAAATGGGGTATGATCCACTAGGAGATCCACCTCGAGGTGAAGTATGCATTAAAGGAAGGACAGCATTTGCAGGATACTACAAGAATCCGGAATTGACCAGGGAAGTCCTAAAGGATGGATGGTTTCACACAGGTAGATAGGTTTATGAATTTGTTATCTTAAAATTATTATTTTCGAATAAATTTTGTGGACTTCTCTTGAACCTTTCCTCAGGTGACATAGGGGAGATGTTACCAAATGGAGTTGTAAAAATTATTGATAGAAAGAAAAATCTTATTAAACTATCTCAAGGAGAGTACGTTGCACTAGAATATCTGGAAAAAGTTTATGGCATCACCCCGATTGTTGACGATGTGAGCATCAGTTCCTTCCTGTCAATTTAATTTTTTGTATAGGAATTATATTTCAACCTGCAATCTCTTTCACTTATCTCCAACTATATATGTGATCGTTCCTTTCAGATTTGGGTCTATGGGGACAGCTTCAAGTCGATGCTGGTTGCAGTAGTAGTACCAAATCAAGATAGCACCAAAAAGTGGGCAGAACAGAACGGCCACGAAAATTCATTTCTTGAACTATGCTCCCTTAATCTGCTACAAGATTATATCCTCCTTCAGTTGAAGTTGACAGCAGAACGAAACAAGGTCATACCTTATGTACTAGTTTCCAGTATCAATGCCTGAAAATTTGATGTTATTGAGAGTATAAATTTGATTCCACTCAGTACATATTCTCCTTCAGCATTTATACTTGTCCATTACCATATTCTGATTAATCTGTTATTTCTTTTTAAACCAGCTAAGACGTTTTGAGCACATAAGAGGCGTAATTGTGGAACCTAATCCTCTTGATACCGAAAAGGATTTGGTCACTGCAACACTGAAGAAGAAACGAGACAATTTGCTTAAGCGCTATAAGGTAATCCAGCTCTATCCGATTCCGTCTTTGTAGTCATACAGTTAATGCTTCATAAAGCAAACACAAGTTGAATTAATTTCATTGTGCAGGTGAAAATTGATGATCTCTACCAAAAGCTAGCTGGAAATTAGTGAGCATAAAGTCTTTTTTTTACGTGTGAAGTTTCATATAGTTAAGAGAGAATGTTTGTATTAAGAATTTATAATCCAGGATAGTGACTGCACCAGCAGCCAAAAGTTATTAGCATTATCGACTATAGTATGCCTCTTTCTGACTTCAGAGCAAAAATAAGTACATTTTGCTAGTCTATTTAATTTGATTGCTGAATATTTTATAATTGACATTTGTGTGAATTTTATAATTTGCATAGTATTAATTTTGCCCTTCACAATTCGCTATTTATATTCACTCGAACCATTTTTTATTCATACATTTCATGAGATCCACGAGTACTAACCACTTCCCTGATCATTTCTATATATTTATGAACAATTCTTGAACGTGGGTAATGTCTGAATGAATACTTCTTTAGAAGAAAAATAATTTGTATTAAGGGAAGGTCTGCAAAAATCTTGATAAATTAATAGATTATACAAATGAACTTTAAATAGTTCAATCCCATGTTCCTTAAATCTTTACATGTACATCTCACTGCCCTGATGGCATGTGAAGCTAAATCTACTGGGATCTGAATTTTAAACCAGAGAACTCTTCTGCAGACCTGCATCCATGAAGTCAAAATTAGCCAAACTATTTGAAAGAAAAAAGGGGGGAATACTTAGATATTTGTAGTAGTCGAAAATAGATCGTACACAGGAGAATACGAATTTGGCACACTGTCATAATTTGACAAACCATTACTGTGAAATTCGACAGAAATCAAGCCTTTGTTCATCATTGCTGGCTCGGGAGCCCCTGGAAATATCACAGGTGAACTATTTCTCGAACCAAGTCCTGAAAAAAATGTTAAGGTTTAAACCTTACTACCAAAAGCCGAGAGCAATAATAAACAGAAATAAAAAATCAGAAACAAAGAAGAACACACAGAGGCTTAATTTCTGTCTAGTAATCATAAACTTAAGCAAGGAATATTTTCAATCCTTTTCTGACCTCCTGTACCTCAGATGGAAAAGAAGCCATAATGGAAGATCACTCTGCAAAATAATATTATGGAAATGCAGCATGGTCACATCTTAAAACATTACTGAGGCAAAACGAAAGACCCAAAAATCATGAAATCTGCTAATTATGAAAGAAACTAAAAATTCTCGAACAAAAGGAGGGGCCTCGACTTCAATTGCCTCGAGTTATTTTATTTATTTATTTATTTTTCTTTTTTCATCTTTTTAGTCAAACAATGTTTCATTTGACACAGCCTCTTTACATATCCGGAGAACATATCAAATCTACAAAGGGAAAAAATGTACGATCTTAGAAATTTTCAACTTCTTAGAAAGGGGGAAAGCTATAATACATAAATGCGGGCAAGTACTTTGAAACCAGTATTTTTTTCTAAAAATGATTTGATCAAACACTTATCAACCATCTTATGATGAGAGCCTTTGATGCTTCAAGAACCCATTTGGTAAGGTGGATTTTACATTATTTGAACGGTATTTTATAGAAGTATGGAAGTGAAAATCTTATATATACTACTATCTAGTCCTATCCAATGTTATGAACCAAACAAGTTCCTAGAGCAGAAAACTGTTTAAAGGTTTATTGCAAAATATGGCAGATAAATAACAATCGAGAAATTTTGAGAGCATTGATGATGATACCTTGGAAGATTATCACAAGACAAAAGAGAATTGTGAGGATCATGGCCGGTATGGTGCTGCAAGATGATGGTGATGATGATGACGATTTGGCTGCTTTCATCTTCTTCAATGCTTTCATGCGTTCAATTCTTTCACGCTTCTTCGTGGCAAGCACAGAAATCTCTTTCACCAGCCTCATATCAACAGCATCCAAGGTTGGACCTTTAGGAGGCCGTGGAGGCTTGGAAGCCTTTTTAGATTTTCCAATCTTTGACCGCTCTTTTTCATGTCTCTTCTCCACAACCGGCATAAGATCTTGATTTTGTAGTCCACCCGGACTCTTTTCTATCAACAACCTTACACTTTCATGCGACTCCTCGCCCGGTTCTCCCAAAACAGCCTTTGATTTAAGGCTAGCCTCAACTTCAGACGATCCATTAAATCCCAATGAACTACTACCAATCTTCTTCAACAATTCTTTAGCCTGTTTCTTGCCCAATACAGAATCACTTCCCGTATCATCGTCACTACTTGTCCCACCACTCTCAATATCAACAACTATTCCCTTTTCTTTCAAGTTATTATATTCCATATCCTACACGATATTATTCTCTTTCCAATCTTTCCGATTTTGGTTTCCTTAATTTCTACAACGTTTTGAGTTTTGATATTGCAGATGATCAATATCAGGTCAAATCAATTTATAAAACAGTGCAACACTCAAATCAAACTAAAGGTTTCAACTTTTGTTTCTTAGATCAAGAAATCCTTTCATTGACCAGAACAATAGACCTAAAAATCTCAAATTTGACCCAGTAAACCCTTATAAATTCCTACAAATAATACGATAATCCTGTAATTGAAAGAGCATTGAGAAATCAGAATTAATAAAAACTAACATTTTACCTTAAAATTTTGCATCCTTACCCAGCTTCGTTCTAGAGAAATAAAAAGTACACAAAAAAGAAGGAAAACAGGGATTTATTTACAATATCAAGATGCGTACCAATATCATTGTGGAAATATGAAGAAACTCAGAATCTGAAGGCAGAGAGATCATCGGCGAGATGTGTGTAGATAGGCATCAAGAGTTTCTAGAAAGGTTTTATTCCCAAATTACACCGAATTTTGAGCTTCCTTAGTAATCGAAGAAAACAAATAGACATAAAATGTTTTGTCGGATAGTCCGATGTGGCTCGGACAGCGCCGCTTTGTACAACGTGTCCACCATATTCCACAAGGTGACATAATAGAGCCTGCTGCTTTTTACACCTGTCCAACACTTTTTTTTTTGCTTTAGAGACGTGGAAATTTACGCGTTTGACTTTCTTTTCTATTTTTTGGGGGGTAAAAACTTATTAACACGTTTTATTCACGTTATTGAGTAAAAAATTTATTTTAAACAGTGATTTGATGAAAACTATGTGATTAAAAAAAATTAAAATTTTTGAATTTACGTGTAATATTATTTTATTGAAAATAAGTTTTGAAAAAATAATTTTTTTTAAGAACGTAGATCAAACAGGATATAAAAAGAAAATAATGTTATTCAAATCCACCAAATGCCAGTTTAGATGGTAACTGCATGCAATGTCACATATTCGTTTAATTTTGCTCAAAATTGCAGTTTTTCTCCAGTAACATAATTGTAAGTAGTTTGATGAAATGAGTAGTTAAAAGATAGTAGAATACATCTACTTATCTTAGTTCTCAATTGTTCGATTAAATGAGTCATTTTGTACTAATTGGTAAAGGAATTAACACTTCCTCTACAGAAAGATTCGACTAGATTTCAATGTCAAGTTAACATAGAACAAGGACATAAAAAGATATTTCTTCCAAATTCCCATCAATCCATAACAAAAGTAACATAGAGTTGATTACTACATTGTCCATGACTAGGTTTCCTTGAGAAGTTTGTGGCCAATTCTATAAGAAGCATATGCATCAATACAAGCATACTCAATCTGCTGAATGCTAAGAACTCTAGCTTCCCAATCACTTCTACAAACATGAATAGGCTTCGCCATAGGAAGTTCTACAACAACATCAGCAAGCTTTTTCAGTCCAGGCTTCTTATAGAATCGGACCGGCCAAATTTCCATAGCCAATGCTTGAATGTCAGCAGTTGTAGTGCAGGTCAACCCATACTCATTATTAAGCTTCAAAACATCATCTCCCACCTCGACTCCCACAAAAGTATTGTTGGGATCACTCAGAAAGTTCTTTATGGACTGGGGAATATAATCCATGTAGAAGAGTTGAAGGATTAAGCATTTTTCATTAACACACAGCTGAAGTGTGGCAGTTTTGTTGCTCACTGATGGGATCAAGTTAGGCCTCCATTCACAGTCGAGCCCGACAATTATTTGTTGACCATAGTACATTGATCGGATTTCTAGTACCCAGTTATCGACAGTGGCGGCCTTGTCGGTGACTGTTGTTTCAATTACTGCTCCAGAAAAATAAACCGTATACTTTGAAGCCATTTTTGGTGTAAATTCCTTATCAATTATGCACATTTATATAGGAGTTATTTCAGCTTTTCATGGTAGCTCAGGAGTGTGAATTTTGTAGGAATATGAAGAGGCATTTGGCTTTTGCGTTTTCCAACGCCGTTCCATTTATTTGCAGTGTTTGACTTGAAATATTCTATCCAGAAATACTGATTACAAAGACTTCGTGAACTGTTGTCCCTTTCGTATTGACTACTACAATGACCTATATTCCTAGTTGGATGATTTCACGACCAATGTGAATAAGCCCTCTTTAGGTCGCTGAGTCTGCAATGAGTATTGTTTATGATACCAATTGTTGCAGAAATTAAGGTAGAATATAACTTATCCTTAAAATTAACCAGTTTGGAACAGAAAATTTGCAGTCGGAAGACCTGAACAAAGAAGTGGGAAACGTTACTTTGAAACCGATTTTCATGCAGCGGTTTAAATTATTATAAGCCATTGCCCATAAATCAAGCATTAATTTAAATATTTGGAACACGATCGTAGTGATTACAATATTTGGAACACAATCGTAGTATACATATTCTTGACTTCACGGAATCAGTCTCCTAGTTGAAGTAGAAATCTTGAATTCATCCTGTCCGCAATTAAGGTCATACTCTAGTTTACAAACCATCTAACACTACATAGAAACACACACTAAATTAATTTTTACGAGTAAGCGAAATAGAATCTAGCAAGAACATATTTTAAACATAAGGTGGCTCCAAACAATATCTTGAAGAGCAGATACTTGTTGACATCCATCTAAAGCCTACATCTCTTTCAACAACATGTGAGCAATTCTGTAAGATGCATAAGCATCAACACAAGCACACTGAACCATATCCTCGTCAAGAACCCTAAATTCCCAGTCAGAACTCCAAATTTTCTTGCTGTTTCTTCTCATTCCCAACCCTGCAACTCCATATGCCAAAGCCTTTAAACTAGGCCTTCCTTTATAGCTTATGGGAAACCATGTCTTCACCAATGAACGTAAATCAAGGGATCGACAAAAACTTATCCCATATTCATTCCTTAGTTTCTTCGCAGTTTCTTCAATTTGAACTCCAACGAAAGTATTATTAGAGTCGGACAACAAATTCCAAATGGACTGGGGAATATTGTACATGTATGATAGTTGGAGTATAAGACACTTTGTCTCAACACATAGTTGTATGAGTGCGACTTTGTTGCTCATTGACTCGATTGGATGAGGATTATATTTGCAGTCGAATCCGAATATGATCTTTGGACCATTGGACTTGGACCTGATGTTTCGCACCCAATCATCAGCCACTGAAGCTTTATGTGTTACTGTTGTTTCTATTGTGTTACCGCAGAATTCGACCAAATGTGTGACTGACGAGTGATTCATTTTTCTCTTGTGAAGTGAGCTCAATCGGAGAAGTTCTTAATGTGATCGTTCATTGGCTTGGATGGAATTTTCGGTCTACTTGAAGTTAAATTAGAGATATGAATGCAGAAGATCAAGAGAATGCCTCTATGAATTCTGGTCAGAGTAGCATTAAAATGAAATGACATATTTAGTACGTTGAATTGCAATAAAATTTCTCTGCTTGTACATAAGCAATTCTTCCAGAATTAACAGCAGCATCTTTTTGGTGTGTCGGTTTTTTATTCTTTTTCTTTGTCATTGTCCAATAGAAAACTATCAAGCGTCTTCTGTATTAATTCTAGCAGTATATTTCCTGTACAAATAGCATATCTCATTGCAATAATTCAATATTCTACGGGCCATGCATGAACTTGGAAGATTATAAGAGTCGCGTTTATTATTTATTTAATTATGTTATTATGGAGGCTTTAATTTCCCAATAATCATTTTAATTTTCGAATCATTTTATTGATATTAACTACTCGCAAGCTTATAAATAGCATTATATTGTTTATTAAATTTCTGCCTTCTACATTTTAAATTGTAGCATCTTGTAACTGTTGACCAATTTCTACACGAATAATGTGGTCAAGAGATCTCGGCTTCACTTGCGTTCATGTAGCTAAGCTCCTACACTCTTGGACAAACCACCAGTAGCACATAGCCTTCTTCGATGGTGGGGGAGGCTGCCATAATGTGCACTCTAACATCAAGTTAATGAACTTGATAGTATAAATATGTGAGACGTTCTGAAGACGTGAGCCACAATAATGTTCAAGTACAAGGGTTTTATAAGATAACAAAATGAGACGGTGATCACTTTATAGTCTGGGTCTAATCTCTGGAAAGTAGACAGACAAGTTGACTGTTTAGACGTTTATCACATCAATCAATCATATAAAAATATTTGTATGGAATATTTCTTGAAAGAGATAAAGTGCGAGATGTCTTCTCTCAATTAATAGATTAATTGTCTCAAATTCACTCTAAGGTAAGTTATAGCACATTGCTTATGCCATAGAGGGTAGGTTTCTACGTAGCACCTCAGTGGAGGTGGCACATCACTTCGACTACTTTAGTTATGGCATTGCCAAGTAGGATATCGATATGGAGTTTGAGCCTAGTTGAATTTGTTAGTTAGCTGTCACGAACGAAAAATTCTATCATTATTGTAATAAACACGACTCGTAGAAAAATAAAGAAATAGATCGAATAGAATATATATTTAGCCTTGCAAGGAAGGGGAAAAAATGATATTATATATAACATATTTAAATAAAAATAAGTCTTATTTGGAGTCTCATTAGAAGTGTAACAGTAACGATATGCCAATTTTTTATTTGTTAATGTAAACATTTTTAGCAATTAATTTATGATGAGAAGCTAAATTCTTTTATATAAAAAAAAATATATTTAGGAGCAATATAAAGTAATATAGAAGGGGGAAATAATTATCATAATAAAGTAAATAACTTTAGGAGCAAGTTTGTTGCAAGTAAAACTCTAAAAAGCTTAGCCAAACATGATACGACGTCGTCTTAGTACGACTATCTCCACCATTGCAGGCAACCACAGAGGGCATTTCTTCTCCGGCGTCCGTCGCTGCAACCATCCAAGGCCGTCACGAGCGCCACCTGAACCGCTAGGAACACAGTCATCAGTGCAATTTTAAAGACTTACAGATGACTGCGGAGGTTGCCACCTTGACAGCAGTTGTACTGATTTCTTGCCTCTTTCGGAACACACGAGTCAATTTTCTCACGCTGGTGCAGTTTAATTAATTTAACTAATCAACGTTTTCGATTTACTTCCTGATGGCATATTTCAAATTCGCATTTTTTATTAAAGTTTGCTCGCTCCCTTCCATTTCCTGCTGTTCAAAAAGATCTAGTTGTGATTGCATTTGTCAAATTTCTGATAATTGTCAACAATGAACCATATCTATCATATTGATTATCAGTGTGGAATCATGTTGTATTAATTGACCTTAACCCAGGTCATAATGTTCACCAAAATTGAAATGTTTTAAGGGGAGCTATAGCCTATACTGGCCATTGTTTAAGCTCTCTTTTTATTTTTTAGATTTTTCCACCATTCCCAGGCCCAGAAAAGGTAGAGGGTTGTTTCCGGCTTATAACTTTGTCAAATATTATAACATGTTTTTTCCACCTTTTTCTTCCCATTTTGCAGCAAGTGATTTCTTCTGTGTTACTTTCTTGAAGTATCTTGCCATATAAAAGTGGAGATTGAGACTTAGGAACCTATTTCTCTATACATAATTGGGATGTGCTTCTGACTTTGGTCTTGTAAATCATGCCAATGAGATTTTTAATTTGTTAGAAGTATCGGCAAATGGACTCAAGTCCCTGATAATTTCAAGATCTTCCATTGCATCTGCTTCTCATGCTGTGTGTTCAAGAACCAAGATGTCACAGTATATAGAGTGTGACAGGAGCAATAAGACCATCTTACTTGATAAAACGGGTCAATTCCATTCGATATATACCACCTTATATCATTGATGAGAGTTCAAAAATGTGACAAGCAGCGGAAGGAGCCTGGGAGTATGCACTTTATGAACGAGAAGTGTAAAAGCTGGAGCAGCAACAAATATCACTATTGTGCAGCTTCAGCCCAAGCAATCCTCTCAGATACCTCAGCAGTTCTCATCTGTAATAATCGGTCATCATTTGACTACTTTCTTTTATATTCTAAACAGAGTGACTCGTATAAAGAAATTGAGTTTGATTTCGTTTCTTTAGATCATGTGACATTTCATTGCATTATAAATATTTTAAATAATAGCATACGCGCCATGCTACAAGCAACTGATGTGAGTTGTGGGACAGCAATGGTCTGGTAGTTGCTTTGAGCAGGACAAGTGCCTGATTTTTATTTATTTTGGATTTCCAGGGACTTAATCATGTCATGAGCAGATAACAAGAAGCCCAGTAGTTGCACCTGAAAGTGCATAAAAATGGTATTGATTTTCCATTGCTTTTTCTTTGATTTTGGTGATTGGATTAGACTATTGAATGCGAACTTTTCTTTGATTTCAAGTTTTGGTAGTTCGATTATCTGCCTCTGGGCATGTTTGGCAAGCCGTGCTGGATAGATCCATACAGTACGATGAACAAAATTTTAGTTTCTCTTTCTTCCTTAATACTGTGCATTAATGTCTAGTTTACCATACCAAACATGCTGTCTTGGTTAGGTTTGATTGTTTTAATTTTTAAATAATCTCAGTTGCACATGCAGTTCTTTCTTTTTCTGCGTACAAGGGACCCACATTGTAATGACTTGCAGACTAAAAGAAGAGCAAGTCAAGAACAATAGCCATGGAAATACTTTGCAAGTCTTGATTCGAATTCAAGCCTATGACCTTGAGTTCTCTGTTTATGTAATTTATCCTCTGCCTGTCCTTTTTAGCGTCTCCACGATGAAAATTGTTGCTACTACACCCAATATATTTTTATACAGAGGATGAGGCGGATTAAATGTTTGTTCCAGAAGTGACAATTACGCAGAGGCCACTGCAATTTTGGCTTATAAGTTTATATCGATTTATAGGGTTATGCCTGGAGAATGGATGCTTGATCTTTGAAAATAAAACTTGATTGTGAGCTAATGTAAGTTATTTTATCAGTATACAGCAATTTGTCTTTAACAATATACATACAGGATTATATAGTGAAAGAAGCTTATATTTGACTTCTAGCGTGTTTACTTTGGTGGCGATGCTGCTTATAGAATGCATTTGGAATCGCAATATTGAACTGTCCCTGAACCACCCTTTGTTGGTAGGGGTTATGACTGAATCCATAACACCCTAATATGTAAATTGAAGGGTAAATATGCTGCAAGATGTGCAATCTCATATATATCGAATTCGTGAACTCCAAGATCGTACGTATAATAAGCAGCTCGATTGAGTCTCGAGGGCAGTACAACAAGAACTATGAAGCTACGTGGATAATCGTGGATAGCCAACAAAACCAGCTCACTTCACAAAAAGAGCCAAGGAAATTGAATTTGAACTAGTGAGAATAGACTAGGTGACGATAGGGGCAGCAAACGGGCAGAGCTGTTGGAGGGTTCGTCTCGGTCCATTGACTTGTCTCAAAGTCATCCCGAGTCAGACACTTTTTCTCACAAGCCAATTATTTATTTAAAAATAAAACGAGTCAAATCATAGGCTTGTAGACTATTTGATCAGCCCATGAAGCACATGAGTCGATCTCATGTATTTGAGGGTCAAGTCGGCTTGATTTGATCCATTGCCACCCCTAGGTGAGGACTACTTGAAATGACATTGAAGTATCCCAAAACTTGTTCAAGACTTTCAAATGGTCTCTTGGCCTTCGAACATTGTTTTTGCCTCTTGGACAGAACATGCCTTTTTTAGGTCCCTATAAGAAGAATAATGCTACTTTGTCAGAAGAATCTGGACAGATGCAGTGACGGAGATGACGTGGCGGGAGGTGATTGGATGTGAAAGCTGATTGTTTTTATAACAGTCCAATGATAAAATGCCATGTGATATTATATCTATCATTATGTCAAATTTTCTGTTGAATAAGTCCCTCATTGCCCACCAAACTTTAATTTCTTACAAAACAATATAATACTGCATGCAATTCACTTGTAACTTGTTCGGTTGGACAATTCCTACATAGTAAGGGTGTAAAAATTTCGAGTTAGACCAACATCGACTATGTAGGGAACAATTAGGATGTGTATTTAGTATTAAGATCAATCACGATACATGTACACTTTATTTCACAGTTTGGTTTATGTTCTACCATGCGACATGTTCTATACCATTGATTTTGAAGACACGTATCACATCATTGCACAAACTCCCTCTACGGAGGAAGGAATCTCATTGAGGATGTACAACAAGTGTGCATCTAGCATAATTCTATTAAGACTTTGAGTTCTATCTTAAAATGTCAACCTTATTAAAAAGAGTAACTCAAATCCATATATGTTGGTTTGTATTTTTATCTTTATTCGATGTGGGATGTATCCCTTAATATGCTCTCGAAAGAGGTGGCTCGTTTGAGCAAATCATTCTTCAAATTCGTGTGCTCATTTTTAATTCTTATTCTGATCAAATCGCTCATTGAAATTTAATAGACTATGATTTATATTAAGATTTGAAATTTTATTTTAAAATATCAAACTTATTAAAAGAAGTAACTCAAGTCTTTCTATATTGATTTACATTTTCATCTTTGTTCGATGTCAAATATATCCCTTTAACGCCCGGACCATTTCATAAGCTAAGCCTGGCACGTCGAGCCTACGTGTCTTTGTTCTAATTTTGTATAAAAAATGATTTTCTAGGATATTTTTGTTTCCTCCATGAACGGAACTTTCCTGTGCCATTCTTGATCCTTTTATTGAGCCTGTTTGACCATTGTCATTTGAGAAAAATAATTTTTTATACAAAATATTTTATTGTATAAATGTATAATTTTAAAAAAAAAAAAATCAAATAATAATGATCAAAAAATATCAAACGTTTCAGAAGAATTAGTCGATGGCAGTGGTAGGTGGAAGTGAGCCATCAAATATTAATAATGAAATGAAGAAGTAGACTGGTCATTTATTAACCATTAATAAACTCTCCTATTTTTCTGAGTTGAACAGTATGCATTGCGTAGTGTAACTAGAGTTTCACTTAGACACGCTTCTGCGCATTTGGTGACACCTGCTTCTTACTTGTCTACAGTTTCTTCATCAACTGTCTACACTCGAAATACCTTATTCCTACACGTACGTCTGAGTCAGTGTGTCCTGTAGTTATCAGACGACCTCGTTTAAAAATTGAATTCGCACGTGAAATTTTTGAAAAAAAGACAAATTTAAATAATTATATGCGGTCTACGTCTCACAACGTATTTCAATGTCGAATTCGTTGAAATAGGGACAGGCAGTCTGTAAACTTTATCGAGAATCCGGCACCAACTTTGTTCCTAGATGAATGCATATAATTCAATTTAAGTTTTATCAAATCGTCATCACTCATTTATAAAAATTATACACGTTTCATGCTTTTTCACCTAAAGTAAATCAAGACATGAATTGATTCGATGCTAAGCCAATCAAATAAGAAAAAGGCAGGCTGTAAGCTTAGTAAGAATCTTGGAACCGACTCTATGTTTCATATTCTTTTTCCTTTCGGTCGCATGCGTGCTCCTAAACTTACCACGTTTTCAATGACTCACAAATCCGTGTAAGATTCAATGTATATGTTCCCACTATAATACAACGCATGCTATTCCCAAAAAATGAGGAAATGGAAGGAACGATAATTTCGGAAGATGAAAAGTGGGAAAATTCATTTGTTAAAGTCAATTATTTTCTGTACCATGATCACTATTGCATATATAGGCAACTTGTCCATTTATTAAATTCCCACCATGTTCATGTCTCTGTTTACCAGAAATGGCTATTCAAACTTCACAGACAAAGAGAAGGCCTCGGGTGAGAAACCCTATAGGCTATACAGTTGATAGTGTATGCTACGAAAAATGGTCTTGTTATAAATGCACATTCCTGCAACATCAAAATACAAAGATTAAGCACTCGTTTGATTCTCTCTTTTTTTTTTTTTTTTTCAAAATATATTTTTTTCTCTTCTTTTCAATCGCACGTTCTTCAATAAAATAATATTACACACAAACAAAAAAAAAAATTTCATTTTTAACCACACATTCTCCATTAATCTACTATTTCAAAATGCATTCTGCATTAAAAAATAAAAAATTGTAGCTCAAACAAGCCTTAAATGTGGAATCTTTCGGCTCATAGTTAGATCTACAATATATTATGTGACCGTCGTACCCTCCTTGTAATTTGTTGTTCAGAGATCACGTCTATCTATAAACCTCTTTAACTACGTGGAAATATGTCTCGACCATTAAATTGTCCTTACCTTAGTTCATCTTCAAACGGAGTTGTCTTTGTTTCATTTTATCCACAAGAATTTTACGAACGAACCATAGAGCACAGCATGTCTAATCATAGTTTCGTAGAATTGGCCTACGGTGAGATGAATGCAAGCAGAAAATTTAGAACCCTAAATTAAGCCCCATTGCCTACGATGATCGTCGCTAGAGACAACATTGTAGCTTCGAACAAAGTACGTATATGTAAGAAATTAAAACCAACACCTCCAAAAGAAGTCATATTAGGGTTTGTAATTATGTATATATGATGCTGATTCTTTTGGACAAAAAAAGGGTAAAACAAGAAACAGCGATTAAGAGCATCACATTCCAATAATGGAGGCTTTCATTTCATCTACAATGTCTAGTAATAAGTCAGTCAGGAAAAATAAAAAAGTGATTATTTTACTCTTCCTTTCTCACAGTTGAGGGCACAATATCTTGAAGAAGCCCATAATCTGTTATAAAGGCAGAAGGTGGGGTGCAAAAGCGCTTCTGGTGCGCAATTGCAGCACGGTTAATATTCGTAGAACCCATAAAACCAAAATTCAGTGGTGTAGAATAGTTGCAATAGACTTGATCAGCTCCAGCGGCTGATAAACTCATTTGCAGCGGCGACGGTATAGATGTGGCGGTAGATGCGCCGGTGGAGAATCCCGAGCACGGTGTCAGTGCAGCAACAGTGTTTGCTCGAGACATTAGCGGACTTGGATGAGTGTGTTGGCCTTCATATGTAGTCATAACTATGGTTGGATCACTCAAAGATCGCTCTATTCTTTTCTTCACACTACATGAAGCAGTAGTGCACCTATAATAGCTCCTGAAATAATTCAAACCATAAAATAGAAGAGAAATTGAACGTAAGTACTTGATCGTAATAAACAATAAAACGAAGTTCTAATGTATTGGGATACTTTAGCAGATGAATAATTATTATTGTACATAAAGAGGTGGGACTAAAGTTTAGTGCTGTAATTTCTCAGTTTACAGTTTACCTAGGGAAAGGACTGTTTTTTACAGCTTTTTGGCCGTACTTTCTCCATCTGTAGCCATCTTCCAGATGATCGACTTCGCTCTTTGTCATGAAAGCATATCTTGGCTCTCTCTGCCTCTTCTGGCTCGTTTTAACGGGTTTCAACCTGTTCTCGTGAGCGTAAAATAGCAAATAAGTAATTTCTGTGATTAAGTAATAATTTTACTAACTTCTACAGGTCAAAGAAAATATATTCAAAACACGCCACATGTCTTTTAGATTTGTCCATAAATATCATAATAATAAATAAAGACAGATGTGTTACTGTTTCTGAGTCTTCTGCTTCTGTTCTCCCTCTTCATCATCTTCCTCGTCTACAACTTCTTTAGTCTGTTCATCATTTTGTCCATCACCACCACTAGATTCTGAAGAAATAGAGGAAAAATTCGGTGTTGCAGGTGTATTCAACACCTCTGATGATTCTTGATCAACCATAGAGTTCTGATTCTGATTTGGGAGTACTTGTAACATATCAAGAACTGAAGGGCCATAATCTGGAACCCCTAGCAACTCCATGAACCCTAATGACCCATTTTGGCCATCAACAGTGTAATCCTCCAAACCTGTGAGTGAATTATTACCACTCACCAGATAATGATCCGAAAATGATGAAGACGGGTTCGGATCCTCCATCTTTACACTCCTTTTACCCTCCTCCATCTATCTATGTATTTATATGAAAAATGCCAAAACTTTCATGAAATAAAGTGATCTCTCCCTTTATCTTGTCCTCTTTAGAGAGAGAAACTGAAGAAAAAGAAAAGGGGTTTGGAGAGAGAGGGAGCAAGTGTGAAAATGCGAGAAGAAAGACAGTGCCGTGTTGCAAATGAATCATACGTTTTATTTTGGGGCAGACATTTTTTCCTGTGAAATCTTGGGCAGAAAGCTTGACTTGATATTGCCGGTCAGGGTTGTACGGAACAGAACAAAACAACGGGCTAGTTGCCATAGGAATCAACGCATTCATACATTAGTTTTGACCGGTGTAACCGGTTATAGTGTGAGCACGATGAGCTGACACGTAACGCGGAGGTTTCGGCTTCTCTTTATCTATTTCCCCTGCATGTGAAGTGTATCCTTCGAAAGATATCCCCTTTTGCATTATTTTAATTTTTGGGTAATATTTTAAAAATCGATCCAAGTATCAAAGAGTCAAAAGAAAATTTTAAGTCATTGTTTGGTCCCCATTTTGAAGAATTTATAAATTTTGGAATAGTGATTGACAGGAGAATGTGTGACTGAAAAATAATGAAAAATTTTAAACTTATGTGTAATATTGTTTTATTTGAAGTTAAAACTAAAAAAGAGAAAAAAAATTTAAAATTTTTAATGGGAGCCAAACACGGCTAAATAGATAAAAACATAAACTTTTGGCATAAACTAATCAATCTCGAGACGAAGAGTATAATTGTAGACTTGTCACTTTTATGGCCTGTTTGGTACGGCTCAAAATCCAATTAAAATTAAAAATATAACCGTTATTGGGTTTCACTCATCTAATAAAAGTCAACAATAACGACTAATTTTTCAATTTTAATCTCTACCAAACACCCTCTTAAAATGGTCTTTTGTACTTTTATCTATATGTAAAAAGTTTGATTTTCAGGCCCTGTTTGGGATGAATTAAATTTTTCTACAGTAAATCAATTCTCATTTTCAACCACACATTATTCAATAAAATAATATTTTCCATCATATCAATAATTTTTTCTTCTTTTTCAACCACACATTTCCCATCATATCACTATTCAAAATCAATTCTTCCCCCAAAAATCTCTCCCAAACAAGCTCTCAATTGAATTGATCGATTCGATTCTGTCTGATAATAATTAATGAATTTTACGAATTTTTTTTTTTAAATGGAAAAATTGAGTTCATACCTTCCTAGAATATCTTATTCTAATACAACTTTTGTTTGATTTTGTTAAAAATTAAATTTTAGCTAATTTTGATAGATACTGATGAAATACGTGATTGAAAAATTGATACAAATTTGTAAGTTTGCTTGCGTTCTAAGCTTGTCAGGGACATAAACAATATAGCTAATAATTAACAAAAATGTTTAGAGACGAACCTTAATCGAGTGTGAATGGTGAGATGTTAATTTTATTGTAATCAAAATCCTACCAAAAGATTGCAGCCATTATTTTCTAATGATGAATTATTACTAATTAATTAATTCCGTGGAGCAGATTGGGCCACAATACACGGCCCCGGTCGCCATCAGCCCGTAAATCAATGGGTTAACCGTTGGGACAGGCACATGTGTTGGGCCCATTCGTTGGTCCCACCTGTTACATCCAATGGCTGTAAATTATCCGATGACGCCTCAACCACGTGGCCATTGATTACGCGCTCTCTGAATATTCTGGTGGAGCTTGCTTGCATTGTACGCTTCTCAGTAATCTCGACACGTGCAATTTGTTTGTTCCCATTTTACTGTGAAGAAATAATTGTACCATGGATCCTCACCTAGTGCCTAAGTAGCAATTTGATCCTTGACATTTTATTATAGTTTTACAGGTGGTAATCGGTAAGGGTAGGCAAAAAAATCGATCAAACAGACCAAATTAAATCGAGTCGGGTCAGTTTGAACTAAAAAATCGATTTAATTCAATTAAATTTAACCATTAAAAAGTCGGATTGGTTATGCTTTAAGCAACCAACCCTGTTAATTAATCAACCCAACCAACTAATATATTTTTTTATTTTTTCAATTTATAATTCATATTTTAAATTTTTAATATAATTATTTCTCAAATAATTTGTTTACTGTCTTCTTTTTTGTACCAGAATTCTAAATTTCTAAAGAAAAGAAAAGCAGGAAAAAGAATTGTTTATTATAAACTCCAAATTTAGATTGTAAACTTACTTTTCAATTTGATGTAATTGTTTGTTGGCAACTATCGAATATATATGATAATTTTGGGAAAGTCGACTATTTACCACTTACATTATATATATTAATACATACTACGCAAGCAAAAAACTAATTATATATAGGCAAAAAAAATGTTTAACCCAAAATAAGTTGGCAAAATTTTCAACTCAAACAAATGCTCAAATCGATTTGATTTGGTTCGGTTTGGTTCGATTTCAACATTTGAATTAGATATGTTGGGGTTGGAATTTACCCAATCCGACCAAGTCGGTTTCGGTTTCGGTTTTGGGTTGAGCTCAAACCCATCCCAATTCGAACCATCCCCAAGCCTAATAATCAATAACGAAAAATGTCCAAAATTGTGTTAAACTGTTACATGATTCTCGCACGTCTAAGAACACCTCAGATAAACTATTTATAAAAGTATATTAAATAATAGAGGACATCTTTAAATTTAAAGTAAAATATTTTATACATACCACTAATATTCTCCATTTTGAATAATTTAAGAAGTAGTGCATTAAAATACACAACTTATTAAATGTAATCATTATAAAATAAGAATAGAGAGCGTAATCTGGAATAGTATTTTGATGAAGAATGTGTAGCTGAAAAAGAATGAAAAGTTATTGATGTGATGGAAAATATTATTTTAATGAAGAATGTGTGGTTGAAAATGAGTAGAAGAATGGGAATGAAAATTTTAATGTAGCTCAAACGAGGGCTCATTCAAACTCATTCTCTATTTTTAAAAGAGGAAATTATACCAAGACCTAGTTTTAACATTCAATTTTCATAAATCTTGAATCAAGTTTCATAATGCAAAAATCAGGTTTTAATTAAAAATTTAAAAACATTTTTTTATTTTTATTTTTAATTATATATACTTCCCTACCCTATCTACCCCAATCAAACCCTAAAATCAATTCTCCACTCTCATGCCTCTTCTCCCGTCTCTCTGCTTCACGGCGGCGGCGGCTGCTGCTGCTGTTCTTCTTCCCCTCATCTCCCCCTCTCATCTTCACTCTTCACTCGTCTCACCGGACACTAGCAAAAACAAGTTCGCCACTCTGCTACACCTCAGTGCCCCTAATGGGTTCTCTGTGTTGGTCAATGGGGTTGTCGAATTTGTCGGGGTGCATTGTTCCTTGGCGTTGAAGAAACGTGGTGATGGTGTTTTGGAGATGGATCGGGCGTAAACCTCGGCAGAGCGAGCGTCGCTGCTGCGACGTGAAGTGGCATCGGCGATTTGAAGTGGCAGCGGCGATTTGAATGTTGCGGAGTGGCTTCGCCCAGATCCATTCCTCTTCCCTTTTTTTTTTTTAATTTTTGAGTTTGGTGGTGGAGATGTGTAGTACGGTGGGTGCGACGGTGATGTGCTACTGTGTTGTTGTAGGTGCGGTGGTTGGGTGCTATGTGCGGTGCTAGTATGGTGTTGTGCGTGATGGTGGTGCTGTGGTGCGGTGGAATGGTGGTGTTTGACGACAGTGGATGTGGAGTTGTGATGGTGTGCGGTGATGGTGCGCGATGGTGGTGCGGTGGCGGAGGTGGTTTTTTGTGCATGTCCGCTTGTTTTGGGTTGATGTTCCGTTGTTAGGTGCAGATCTGTTTTGGGTGTGGTTGGGCGGCGGGTGCAGTTGGTTGTGTGTGTTCTGTGAGCGGTGGTGGGGTGGTGATAGTGGTGTTGGGGAGGGTGTGGTGTTGATTTTTAGATGTTGATGGTACCGCTGGTGGAGACGGTGGTGAAGTGGTGGTCACAAATAATTTGGTTGTTTGTGACCACTATTTTGGTTGGTTGGCGACCAATCAACGATTTGTGACCAATGAATTAGATAAAATGTGACTAATACATAATGTGTGATCTAAAAATTATTAAATTGTGACCTGCATATAGTTTGTGTTCGATTAATGTGATGTTCGTGACTATAAATAAGTATTGTGACTTACAAATTTTGTGATATGTGACCGATGAGCGAATTGTGACTTTCAAATTTCTAAATTGTGACCAACGAACAAATGTGACCTATGAAAATTTTGAATTGTGACCTAAAACTTTTCGTCGAATGTTCGATTAATGTGATGTTTGTAACCATAAATAAGTATTGTGACTTACAAATTTCGTGATTTGTGACTAATGAACGAATTGTGACTTTTAAATTTTTAAGTTGAAACCGATGAGCAAATTGTGAACTATGAAAAATTTGAACTGTAACCTAAAAAATTTTAAATTGTGATCAAATTGTATAGATATGTGCTCTTAACATAATCGTCGGAATCGGATCAATCGTCGGAAAAGTCGCCGGAAAGGTCGTCGGAGAAGAGTGGTGATCGGAAAGGTCGTCGGAATATCTCCGGAGTTGTAGGGGTGGTGGAGGTGGGGGTGGGTTAATTATTTTATAATAGAATTAAATATTCATAATAAATTAATTCAATAATTATTATTTCATAATTAAATTATAAATAAATTTCAATGAAAACCTGATTTTTGAAATAGTGATACTTTATTTATGTATTGTTCCCTTTTTAAAATAAACAATCTCTTGATGTTTATTTTTATGCATTGACCCTCTAAAATATAATATTTTGTGCCTGCTTTTAAACCTTTCTTTTGTAGTAAAACAATGTTTTTTATACGGCAATTGTGGCTCATTTGGTTCCTTTTTCAATCTTAAAACATTAGTGTACAAGTTGTACAAAAATTTTAAATAATATAATACTGTTGGAAAAAGTTAAAGAAAGGCTGTCAAGCACA